CAATTTCCATTCCAGTTTTTTAATCCGACTCGCTTGAGAAATAATAAACTCAGTTTCCATTCTAGGTTGTTGTTTTTTTGTTTTGTTTTTTTTTAAATTTTTTTTTTTTTAATTCTTTAAAAAAAAAAAATTTCTTTTTTTTTTTTTATACCTATTTTTTAATTTGAATTTTTTTTTTAAACATAGTTTTATTATGACGTTCTTGAGCTACTTGAGCCATTGATGTAATATCGATGTTGGTCTGTTAGCAATAGATGTGTTCGGTTATTAATGTGAGTCACTAAAAATATTTTAGTACATGTCCCGTTTAAGAGACCCGGAAGTCAACAATTGAAGCCACGTTCCATAGAAGGCAAGGGGGGGAGCTTCGCATTTTTATGATTGGGTTACTTGCGGGGGGGGGGGGTATAATGAAATATACCATTGATTCTTGGAAATGAAAATATCGAAAAATATATATTTTTTAAAACCGGTTTTGGTTTTGTAAAGGACGAGGGGGGGGGGGGGGGTTCATGAATTCATTTATAGACAACCCCCAGGTAGTTGTTGTTCAATATCAATTGTTCATTGTCAAGTATATCGATATGTTCAGGTGGGATCGATATTGTGAAATGTTTTTTCTTTAGTAAAGCTGACACTATAATTCGGTTGGATTAGGTCGTGGCTTAGGTTAAGCGATATGCAAAGGTTAGCTGTTGGCTTAGGTTAGCGATATGCTTAACGAGATGCATAGGTTACCTGTAATGCCCAGGTTAGCAGTGCTTCACTATGAAATAAGTCTGTTTAATGATGGCTGTTGTTTAAAAAGAATACCTATTGTTGTCTTTATTGTGTTAATAACTAAACGGGATAAATCCGTTGGCTATTTTAAGCCAGCACATTTTTTTTGTACCTCCTTTGTGGAAAGTAAATTTCATTTCCCGTCACTCCGCCATGTCTCGTCGGCCATGGGCGACAACTGACTGGCACCAAACAAGAGCAAATAACCCTGACACATCCCAGTTTGTCAACAAACCCTCAGCCTTCTGCGTGTGGGGCTGGCAAACAACCAACAACACAGGGACCACAGACACTCGTTGGAGATTTTTCTAACCCCCTTGCCACAACCCCTCCCCCCACTTCACATCCCTTCCCCACAATTCCTACCACAACCCTTCCTTCCTTTTTCAAACCCCCTCCCCCACTTCACATCCCTTCCCCACCACTCCTCCCACACCCTCACCATTTCACATCCCCCCTCCCACAGTCAGACTTAAACAAGAGTTGGCAGTGCACAATGACCTTATGCTATTTTCTTGGGGTGGGGACATTTCAAGAAACGTTTGAAGTTTCAAAAAACAAAGTTAGTCATTAAAATATCTGAACCAACACTTTGGGTGGTCCGTATCTGACTAGGATGTGAGTCGTGGTAGGACATTAACCCCCCTAACTGTGGTCCAATGGGCCGATATAGCAGGTAACTTCTGTTCACACACACACAGCTTAGAGTTTCTTTCAAACATTTAGCCTCGATGGAGGGAAAGTGAATAGGAATATTTAAAGTGTATATTTTCTATTTACGTTTGACATGCTTCATATTCGTCCGGTGTGTGTGGGGGGGGGGGGGGGCGTGTTTCTGAGAGATGCCTGAAAGAAACCCTGCCAGCGCCTCGCCCCAGTGCATTCCCCCAGTGCCTCTGCCTCTGCTGTTTACTCTAAGAGGGCGCGAGTTCAACCACCTCCAAACAATTTGTTTTCTGATTTCCGTGTCCTGTTTTGTTTTGGGGTGGCTGAATTGTGGCAATATACGATTGGCCTGTCGAACATTTCTTTTCGTAGTATTTTTTAAAACGGATCTTTTTTAATCGTTTGGTTTTGTTGTGTTAGGGTGTTCTCACTTTGGGATATTGGGCAGCCGTCAAACTGGGATATTGGCCGCCGTCACATTGGGATATTGGCCGCCGTGACAATGGGATATTGGCCGCCGTGACAATGGGATATTGGCCCGCCGTGACAATGGGATATTGGCCGCCGTGACAATGGGATATTGGCCGCAGTGACAATGGGATATTGGCCGCCGTGACAATGGGATATTGGCCGCCGTGACAATGGGGATATTGGCCGCCGTCACATTGGGATATTGGCCGCCGTGACAATGGGATATTGGCCGCCGTGACAATGGGATATTGGCCGCCGTGACAATGGATATTGGCCGCCGTGACAATGGTATATTGGCCGCCGTCACATTGGGATAACTGGCCGCCGTCACAATGGGATATTGGCCGCCGTCACATTGGGATCATTGGTCGCCGTCAAAAACTGGGATATTGGCCGCCTTCACATTGGGATATTTCCCGTCATTTCGATTCCTGGTGGCGTCTTTATAACTTGATGTTTTTGAGCTTTTCTTTTAGTGTGAGATTTTTTTTAATGGATTAGCGTGACGTCATCTGTTTGTTTTCTCCACAGTTCGACAGGTTTCTCAGCGCCAAGGGCGTTCACCCCCGAGCACGGGGGCCGCTCCTTCTGTCTGCTGACCGATGGTCAAGCCCACCTGCGCCAGTGCATCCACCACGAGTGCTGCAAGAAGAACATCCCCCCTGTCCAGCTACTTCTACAAGTTCTTCGACCTGAGGAAAGAGTTCAAGAAGTTCTACAAGACGGAGCCCATGCCATGCTTGAAGACGATGATTGATTGTATCCTTTCAGCTCAAAGTATGGGGGGGGGGGGGGGGGCACGGGGTGACACGCCCTAAATTTCTGATCACTTTGATCTTGTTGTTTTTTTATTTGACGCTCTACCGGCATTACATCCTGCTCCCAGTTTTTAATTTTCAAATATTAGCATAATATTTTTTTTAACTTTTTGTTTTTTATAGTTTTTACATTTAAAGGGAAACTATTTTTATAGTTTTTTACATTTAAAGGGAAACAATAAATATTTTGTTGGTGTGGTTCTCTCCCTCTAGATGAAGGGCAGTCTTCGCAATTGTCTAAAATTCTTCATGCGTTTTTTTAGCCCTGTGCGTGTAAAGAAAATAAAGTCTCTTAAACACATGCCCCTGACCCCGGAACTTGGAATGTTTTTACTGCACCGGTTAATTCGGATTAAAACCCGGGGGTGGGGTTCGTCCTGGTGGTGATTGAGGGGGGGGGGGGGGGGTGCTAGATTTGGTGAGGGGGGTTTAACAACCTTAGATAATAAAATAAAGCTTAGCGTTCTTGTTATAATTTAGTTGCCTCAGTGTTATATGAGCTCATACACGCCAATTGCTAGAACATATAACAGTATAGGGCTTTTATATGGATATATATATTGCATAAAAGGCTGTCAGAAAGAATATACCTCAATTCATTGTGACAATAAGGACTCGCCCTTTAAACATTCAAAATCTGGCAATATATTACTCTACAAAGTTATAATTCTCGCACAAAAAAAAAAAGATTTAAATAACAATTTTAAAAAAAAGATAACCCCATATAGATCCATTAAAAAATCTCCTTTTTACGATACATTCTACATTCTTGTGTGTATGTGCTTGTAACTTAACACAATTTTCAAAATTTGTTTCAGAAAAAGTAAGTTAACTTTTTAGTCTCCCCTACTTTAATATATGCTTACACTTTTGTAATAAATCCATGACTAAAAATAAACATGCATGTAAACTGTTTCCGGGGTCGCTGTATGCACATGATGTATAGTCGTAGCGGTTTAAAAAAAACGTCTACTTGATCTTGTTGTTTCATCTCGGCTGCCCACCATCTTTCATCAAACTGTCATATGTCAGCGTGCCTTATCTGTCATGTGATCCCCGTCCCTTCCCCCTGGGGGCGGGGGAGGTGTAAAGGGTCATCTTTCTTCTGGTCACATGTTTTTCCTACCGAAATTACCTTGACCTACAATCTGGGACCTTGACCTACAAAATGAATTATCTAAACGTTTATGTAATGGCCCCTAAATTACGCCTTACCGCCACAGCCCCCATCTCCTACTCCATCTACGTCTCTTGAATGGCCCTCACTGTCCATCATCTACGTCACTCCGGTAGCCCGACGGTCTAGACTTGATTTATTAACCTAATCAACTTTCTGACCGTTAGTCAATATCGATGTATGTTTGATGTTTTCTTAACTCTTCAACAACCCCCACCTCCCCCCCCCCCCCCCCACACACACATACACACATCGTCCGAAAAATCTGGAGACATTTACTTGATCGCCACCTTTTAATGCGAGGCTGATTTGTTATAAGTTTATATCTTGATTCTTTTTGGGTGTCTATCAAAGGTGACCCCTTTATTTTGAATGACCCACTCGTATAGATGATGACCCCTGTATATTGTATGACCCACTCGTATAGATGATGGCCCCTGTATATTGTATGACCCACTCATATAGATGTTGACCCCTTGTATATTGTATGACCCTCTCATACAGATGATGACCCCTGTATATTGTATGACCCACTCATATAGCTGATGACACCTGTATATTGTATGGCCCACTCATATAAATGTTGACCCCCTTGTATATTGTATGACCCACTCGTATAGATGATGACCCCTGTATTTTGTAAGACCCACTGATATAGGTGTTAAAAAATAAATCTTCGCCACATAGAGGTCTAGATCTCAATACAAAATTCACATCTTTGGCTCAACATATGACATACATGACATGTAATAAATGACATGACATACAATGACATAAGGAAAGCTTGGTTTTAAAGCTCTGGCTCAAATCATGGCACATTTGGTGTGAAAATAGATGATATTTGGTGTGAAAATAACTGACATTTGGTGTGAAAATAGATGAACACTAAAACCGGATGACAGATCTTATTTTTTTTCGTTGCCCGTCCAAATTCAGGTTTAGTTTTTTTATGTTGTCACGTCTAAATGCAGAAACAGGTTTCATATTGTATTTCCTAAATAGAGAAATGCCTATAGATTTTATCTTGTCTATTCTAAATGTAGATGTTTTTTGTCCAAATAGACGTATTCAATTTTTTAACCTGTCTATTGAGAAGAGTAATTATTATGTACCATATAATGTTTACATATAAATGTATGAAGTTTTCTGTGTTTATGTGTACGTTGTGAACAATTGATTTTCTATTTGTACAGTATGTGTGTACGCACATGTCTGTGTACACGCACATGTCTATGTACACGACCATGTCTATGTACACACACATGTCTATATACACGCACATGTCTATGTACACACGCATGTCTATGTACACACGCATGTCTATGTACACATACATGTCTATGTACACTCACATGTCTATGTACACACACATGTCTATGTACACACGCATGTCTATGTACACATACATGTCTATGTACACTCACATGTCTATGTACACACACATGTCTATATACACGCACATGTCTATGTACACACACATGTCTATATACACACGCATGTCTATGTACACACGCATGTCTATGTACACACACATGTCTATATACACGCACATGTCTATGTACACACACATGTCTATATACACACGCATGTCTATGTACACACGCATGTCTATGTACACATACATGTCTATGTACACTCACATGTCCATGTACACACACATGTCTATGTACACACACATGTCTATGTACACGCACATGTCTATGTACACACACATGTCTATATACACACGCATGTCTATGTACACACGCATGTCTATGTACACATACATGTCTATGTACACTCACATGTCTATGTACACACACATGTCTATATACACGCACATGTCTATGTACACACGTCTATGTACATCATGTATCCTAACGGGTCTCCCAGCCACATTCCCCCCCCCCCCCCCCGGTGTCTATAAATAACCCGCCCATCGATCAGATCAGGTGATGACGTAGACAGGTCTTAAGATTTCATATGTGATCATCTTCTAATGGCCGGCCTGGGGCAGGGATACGACATTGGTGTGATGGACGACCTGGGCATGCAGGTTTAGGGTGGGGGGGGGGGGGGGGAATGTGGGTTTAGGGTGGTGGGGGGCTAGATCATTTTGACTGATGTCTCGGTGATGTGAAGGCTGATGTGATGTACATTTATTGATCTTATATGGACATTTAAAATCACGTGACCAGTTACCAATAGCCTGGATTAGTTCAATGTATGTGTTTAGATACTTCCCCCCCCCCCCCCACACACACACACATACACTCCCCATCCCCATCGATAGTTTAAATAATCAGTTTCTATCTCATAAAAGCCCTTTTGTGTCCGTACCTGTCACTAACTTTGCTTTCATCTTTAGCCTTTCAATGTGTCTCGCAATCTGACAATAAAACACAGCTGCCTACCACCACATCCGTAAACTCATTTCCTTACATTAGAACGTGTGTAAACACCACCCTAGCCGCATCTTCTTACATCGAAACCTTACTGCCTACCACCACATCTCAAAACCTCGTCACCGTTTTTCTTCTAATTAATATTCCGCGCATCCCAAATTCTCCACCCCCCCCCCCCCCCCCCCCCCCGTATTTGCTGACGTCTACTGCCATTTGGACAAGTGCAAGTGACTGAACCTTCCAGTTCAAAGCGTTCCAGGTCAACTTGTTGTCCGGGGTCAACTTGTTGTCCTTGCACGTCATTGTCTGTTTGCCTGGTTCAAGTCCGGCCTACCGTGAACGGGCCAACGTTCCCCCCAGAGTGGCCAACTTTCACCTTTCTGGCCATCGAGAATGTCTTCACGCCATGACAAGTTTGCTCGCCCCCCCCCCCCCTTCCCCCTCATGTCAATATTTAGTCGGTCTCGTGTTTTTTTTTTCTAGTTCGCCAAGACTAGCCGATACCTCCCTGCTCAACGTTTTCATCATTCGGTCGTGGTGTAGGGGATGTAGGTTCCCATGTATGTAAGCAGGTGACTGGGGGAGGGGGGGGGGGGTGATGGGAAGAAAGTTTGACACTCTTGTTTCTGTAGATTTGGGGTGATCGACAAACAGGGCCATATATGGTATGGATGAGAGAGTGGGCGGAGCCTAGGGCATTTAACGTTACTTATATACTTAGACCTTTAAACATAAACGCAATGATTATATGTATATGTATATATATATATATATATATATATATATATATATATATATATATATATATATATATCTTAAACCTTTGTAAGTTTTTGTGCCCGTTTAAGAATTTGACCCAAGTTTTACCTATGTCATTTTAAGAACCGTCTACCAGACTATGGGTGGCCGGAAAGAACCGCAACGGAAAAAAGCGCAACGGAAAAAAGCGCAAATCAAAAAGCGCAACGGAAATAAGCGCAAACGGAAAAAAGCGCAAAGAGAAAAAAGCGCACACAGAAAAAAGCGCAAAGAGAAAAAAGCGCAAACGGAAAAAAGCGCAAAGAGAAAAAAGCGCACACAGAAAAAAGCGCAAACAGAAAAAAGCGCAAACGGAAAAAAGCGCAAAGAGAAAAAAGCGCACACGGAAAAAAGCGCAAAGAGAAAAAAGCGCAAACAGAAAAAAGCTCAAAGAGAAAAAAGCGCACACAGAAAAAAGCGCAAACAGAAAAAAGCGCAAACGGAAAAAAGCGCAAAGAGAAAAAAGCGCAAACGGAAAAAAGCGCAAACAGAAAAAAGCGCACACGGAAAAAAGCGCAAACGGAAAAAAGCGCAAACGGAAAAAAGCGCAAACAGAAAAAAGCGCAAACGGAAAAAAGCGCA